TCACAAAAAATAATTTTTTGAAGTGCTTCGAGGATTGGAAAAAACGTTGGCACAAGTGTATAATATCTGATGGGGATTACTTTGAAGGGGACAAAATAGATATTCATGAATAAATAAATAATTTTTGAAAAAACACAAAATTCGCGATACTTTTTGAACAGACCTCGTATATTGTAAAATATGGCCAAATATTCATTTGTCATATTTTTGAAATTAATATTACAAATACAAACAACATTGCATATTATAACATAAATATTACAAAAAGAAATGTTTCGATTTTGCTACAAAAATTGAAACTTAAAAATTTTTAAATTAAAACAGGTCTCCAAACTTTAAAGACAGGAAATTATTTGTGAATAATTGACCACACAACATTTTACCTACAATTATACATTTATAAAAAGAATAGCACAATTATGCATCATAAAAAAAGTATAATTCATATTAAGCTGCTTTATTCAGTTTTATTACAATTTTTATAGGGAATTTTGTATATCTTTTTTGTAAAAATCAATCAAAGAAAAGTTTACGTTGTGCTTGTACGAGTATGTATCGATGGATGTATGAACGGAGCGAAAGAAAGTGAAAAGATCTATTACTCAATTTATAATTATTTTTAACACTGTTGTAGTTATTACGATTGAACACAGCAGCCATGAACCAAACCGGTACCGGACAGATCATGAATCTTCTCAGCAACGATGTCATTCGCTTCGATCAATTAACAATGTACCTGAATTACATATGGATCATGCCTTTTATGGTAACTCTTATCTCGTGAAAGTATTCGTATACATTCCACAATAACAGTAGACATTGCACAGAAAATTTCGATCATATGGTACTTTTGAACAAAAGTCTTAAATTTAAACTTCTAACTTAAATTTATTAATCTCTTTTGTAGATTATTGATAAATATAAATTTTTAAATAATTATAGTATAATTTGTAGAAAACCTATTGTATCAATTATATGCATATAAGCTATTTGTATACATTTTACAACTCGTGATTTAATTTAGACTAGAATAAAGAGTAGGATTTCTTCTTTTTACTTGTTTCAAAGTTGCTCTTAAATAATTGTCTGTTAAAGCTGACTAATTTTATTTTTATTCGCAGACCGCGATCATAGGGACAATAATGTGGCAAAAAGTCGGTATTTCGTGTTTGGTTGGCATCAGGACATTGTTGATCATTGTCCTCCTAGGACAAGGGACTTTGAGCTTTTTGAATCTCAAACTCAGACCATGATTGCGCCACTGACCGACCGAAAAGTACAACTAATGAGCGAACTCATAGCTGGGATACAGGCATCCCTAAAAAGATGATTAGTTATTTTATTCTTAAACAATATAGAGGATGAATATAATAATATGAATAATACGAATAATATTAACGCCCGAGTCATTTATAAAACAATTTTATGAAACAAATTTATAAAATAATTCTCGGTTTATAAAATAATTCTCGGTTTAGGTTGTGCGCCTGGGAGAAACCATCGTTCAGCCAGATTGTGTCAGTAATCAGAAAATTAGAGATCAATCAAATTAAATTCTCGTCATACGTGCGCGCCGCGTATTTGACCATCATAGTCTTCACTGAACGATTGACCGTCTACTTCACCCTGATAACGTTCGTCTTAATGAGAAATAATTTGACTGCCGATGTGACCTATGAAATGTCGACATACTTTAACATACATCAACTCATAGTCGCATTGTACTTTCCGAAAGGGCTAATACTATTGGGTGAATCAATAGTGTCATTCAATAGTGTCATTCAATCGATTGAAGGTATACGAGGTCTGGCTATTAAATAACGAGACTGCTTATGAAAAA